ATGTCAGAATCAGGTCAGGAGTTGCTAAGAGCCAAACGTAAGGGAAATCTCTATCTTATGAACTTCTCACCAAGAGATAATTCAGAAACTCTTTGTCTCGTATCTTGTAAGTGTGAAGAAGCATGGCTCTGGCATCACAAGCTGTCTCATTTAAATTTCCAAAATATAGAGAAGCTTGTGAAAAATAATCTGGTTGACGGACTTCCTGCCATAAAGTTCGAAAAGGACCATCTCTACTCTGCGTGTGAAATGGGAAAACTCAAAAGGGCATCCCACAAAACAAAGACAGATGTGTTCTGTGCCAGACCTCTGCATATGCTTCATGCGGATCTCTATGGTCCAATCTCTGTGCAGAGCTTGTCTGGTAAGAAGTATATCCTTGTCTTAATTGATGAATATTTACGATATACTTGGACTGAGTTTGTAAGGCAGAAATCAGATGTCCCAGAGCTACTGATTAAGCTGATGACCAAGATTCGAGTTCTTCTACTGAGCAAAATTCAAAAGCTGAGAAGTGACAATGGAAGAGAGTTTAAGAACGCAAAAATTGATGCGTACTTAGACAAGAAAGGCATATCTTAGAACTTCTCTGCAGCAAGAACACCATAGCAAAATGGTGTAGTTGAAAGAAAGAATCACACACTGGTTGAAGCAGCAAGAACAATGCTAGCAAGCTCTGGTCTTCCAACCCACTTTTGGGCAGAAGCCATCTCAACTGCTTGCTTTATCCAAAATAGAGCAACGGTGGTAAAAGGGCATATGAAGACGCCTTACGAATTAATCAACCAAAGAAAGCCTAATGTTAAATTTTTACATGTCTTTGTTGCAGATATTTCATTCTAAATGACCGTGATCAACTTGGAAAGTTTGATAAGAAGGCTGATGAAGGTAAGATCCTTGGTTAATCTACACAAGCCAAGGCTTATAGAGTCCTCAACCAACGCACCAAGACTGTCATGGAAAGCATCAACGTCTCGTTCGATGATAAAGAGCATATGACATCAGAGTACCTCAGCTCTGGACTCGAGCTTAACAAGTCGACTTCCAATTCTTAAATGAAGTCAAGAGAATTGGAACTCAAGATCTTATTTGAAGACTTCTTTGGCGACGAGGACATCTTTATACGTACACCCAGAGATGAGTCTGCCCGTGTAAGTGAAGAACCACAATCCACAAGCACTTCAATCTCTGGTCCTTCACACATCTCTACTTCCTCTAGTGATCATGCTAATCCATAACCAGAGCAGACAAGCTCTGGATCAGAGCCTAGTCATACAGAGACAAGGCATAACACCTCTGTTCTGAACCTGGTTCCTCTGTACCATCATTCGAGGGGGAGCAAGCAGAACCCTTTTCGCCATCCATGAGCCAAATGCCAAATATGCCTATGGAACGTGATCAAATGTCCCCGACCTTTGTCTTTATCCCAAGAACAAAATAGACAAAAGATCATCCTCTTCACTAGATCATTGGTAAACCTTCAAGCGGTGTAAAGACAAGGTCTGCCACTGCAAATGAATGTTTATTCGTAAACTTTCTGAGCATGGTAAAGCCTAAGAAAGTTTATGAAGCCCTACAAGACCCAAGTTGGGTTGACGCCATGCAAGAAGAGCTCTAACAATTTGAAAGGAATAAGGTATGGACTCTTGTGCCTTTACCTAAGGATAAAGTTGCTATTAGCTGTAAATGGGTTTTCAGGAACTAGAAGGATGAGGATGGGATCGTTGTGAGGAATAAAGCCAGGCTTGTAATGAAAGGCTATTGCCAAGAAGAAGGCATAGACTATAACGAGACCTTTGCACTAGGAGTAAGGCTAGAAGCTATACGCTTGTTCTTAGCCTCCTCTTCACATAAAGGGTTCCGAGTGTATCAAATGGACTTCAAGTCAGCCTTCTTGATTGATAAGTTGAAGGAGGAAGTCTATGTTCAACAACCTCCGGGGTTTGAAAGCTCCAAACATCCAGAATATGTCTATTTCTTAGACAAAGCTCTATATGGACTTAAGCAAGCACCTGAGCCTGGTATGAACGTCTTTCGTCGTTTCTCTTATCGAATGGTTTTGAAAAAGGTAAAATCTATACTACTTTATTCATTAAGAGGTATAAAGGTGAGATGCTTCTAGTATAGATTTATGTGGACGACATTATTTTTGGTTCAACAAACCAGAGACACTATGATAAGTTCTCTGCTTTGATGAAGAACGAGTTTGAAATGAGCATGATGGGAGAATTAACATTCTCCCTTGGCTTGCAAGTAAAACAGAGGGAGGATGGCATTTTTATTAGCCAAGCTAAGTATGTCTCTGACATATTAAAGAAATATCAACTCCACAACTCTTCTATAATGAGAACACCAATCGCAACGGGAACTAAGCTTGATGCAGATCCATCTGGAAAACCAGTGGATGTTAAGACTTACTGTAGAATGATTGGATCATTGCTATACCTCATGGCTAGTCGACCAGACATTATGTTTGCTACGTGTCTTTGTGCTAGATATCAAGCAAACCTAAGGAATCTCACCTATCGCCTGTGAAAGAATCTTTAGATACCTAAAAAGAACTCAATTTCTGGGTCTCTGGTATCCAAAGTATTCTGGATTTGATCTTATTGCATATACAGATTTTGATCATGCAGGATTCAAATTTGATCGAAATAGTACATCAGGGAGTTGTCAATTAGGAGACAAGCTTATAAATTGGACTTTAAAGAAGCAAAATTGCGTTTCTACCTCCACTGCTGAAGCAGAGTATGTAGCCCCAGCCAGCTGCTGTTCCCAAGTGATTTGGATGAAGACTCAACTGAAAGACTATGGCGTTGAGTTTGACAAGATTCCAATTCTGTGTGATTCAGAATGTGCTATCGCGATCACAACCAATCATGTTCAACATTCTAATACAAAGCATATCGACGTTCGTTACCATTTCATCAAGGACCATAATGAGATAGGTACGATTGAGATGTTTTTCGTTAGTATAGATCATCAACTTGCTGACATATTTACAAAAGCTCTTGATGAAATGAGATTCGACTTTTTGGTTAGCAAGTTGGGTATGCTCAATCTTCACTAACAAAGACAGAGCCTCTGTATGTACTATACAGAGCCTCTATCATCCCTCCTGAGCATACTTCGGTTTTTGTTTTAAGTTTTGATCCATGAGACAAAGCCTCTTGCTCAAGTCTAAAGTGTCTTGTAATACAGAGCCTCTGTACCTTGGTCATTATGCTTGTGCATTACTTATCATTTATGATCCAAGCATAGTTCAAGAAGGAGCAAATCAAACAGAGCTAAAGTCGAGGGGGAGCATTAGATCATGCATTATACAGAGCCTCTGTATGTACTATACAGGCCTCTATCTCAAAAACTTTTATGATTATAGGACAGAGCCTCTATATGTACTATACAGAGACTCTGCCCCTAAACATAACAAGTGTGATAGACAGAGGACATGTATAGTCCAAGCATGAGCCTCTGTATGAGATCTTTAAGTATGTTATCTTTCTTTTAAGTACTACTCTGGGTTATTTTTCAAATTCTATTAACCAATCTAAGCACAATAATTCTGTATTCAAATACAGAGCTTCTGTCTCATGGTTGGTGTTTCGTTCAAACTAGAGTATAAATACTTGTTAAAATTCACCTTAAGTTTTTTAAAAAATATATTATTTTTAAAAGGAAGGCATACAGTTCTTATTTTTAAAATATTTTAACTAGACTGTCATTTAACAAAACGTCACCGCCTGTTATATTAATTTTTCAAATACGGGAGGTGCCATTTGCCGCTGGCAGGCCACGTGGCAACTCTCCACAGGTGGTACGAAAATCATTTCAGTTTTCTGATGATTGGGTGGCGGTAACACTCAAGTGCGCTATTCTTTTTCTATTTAAACAAATCCTTTTCCCCAAAATTTCTTTTACACTCTCAAAGATATTCAAGAACAGTCTTCGTTTTCAAGTTCTCAAACCGCCATTGAAATTCTTCAAAAAGCTTTCTGGAACCATAATCTTTGGTGGAATTGTTTGACATCATCCTCCAAGTAAGTAAATTAAACCTTTCTCTAGCCCAGTTAAAAAATCAAGAACTGATTCTTTCCAAACCCTAGCTTTTCAAAACCCTCTTCCAAAACTTGCAACTATGTCTTCCTCAGACTCAGGGTAATTCTCAAACCCACACAACTACCCTCAAGACAGTGGAGGAAACCAGTCAAAATATGGTTCCACTCCCACTCAAACCAAACAACCATGCCCTTCAACTCTCCTTGGACAGTTTTGACCCAAAAGTTCATCATGTCATCGACATCCTTCAACACCATTTCTTGAACCCTGCCCTTACAAACACTGATGATCTTGTCCCTGAACGATTCATCCAAAAATTCTGGCAAACTTGCTCAGTTACTGAATCCCAAAGAGGGATTGTTGGAGATTTCTATGTATCCTCTACCAAAGAATTTATCACTGTTCGAATCTCAAGGTCCCTGTTTTCGCGAGTTCTACAAATTCCAACCAAGACGGATCTTGGATTGAATGAATATGCTCCTCTCCCATCTGGGGATGAAATCGTATAATTCTTGAAGTTCTTGGGGTACAACAAGGCGATCCAATACCCTTCTCAATACCGCCACCAGTACCTACTCCCAATGTGGAACACAATGTTCACATTGGTGAATCGTTCTTTGACCAGGAAGATTGGAAGCCTGGACATGTGCTCAACCAACATTCTCCAAATAATGTATGACATCTTCTTTGATCTATCGTTGGACTACTCCTTGATCCTTTACACGGAGTTCAAGGATGCTATTGCCAAGAAGTGCCAGGAGGTGGCTAAGGGAAAGGAATTACCAGCACTATTGTTTTCTCATTTTCTGGGTCTTCTTCTAAGACCCATTCTTGATAAAAATGACATTAATGTGGGAAGTCTGCCCGTGCACAAGGTAAATGTGCTTACACACTACAAACCCACAGTCAACAAAGAAGGCTATGCTACATAGAGGCCTATCCCAATGAAGCTCTTAGCATACCTGAAGAGAAAGGAGGTGAGAAGAGCATACAGACGTGTAAGCGAGGCACAAGAACCTGTGCCTCGAACCCCGACATGCATAGGACCAAACCAAGAGGATGAGGGAACAAAGAATACTCAAAGGCCTCGAGCAGAGGAGGAGGAAGTGAGATTGGAGAAGGAAAGAGAGAAGAAGAGAAAGAGGGTAGATGCGAGAAAGAAGAGAGTGGAAAAAGAGAGGATGAGGGAGGAAGAGGAGGAAAGAGAAGAGAGAGCAAAACAAGAAGAACTTGCCCGTTTGAAAGAAGAAGAGGAGAGAGCAGAAAGAGCAAGACGAGAAGAAATTGCTCGAGTAAAGGAAGAAAGGAGAATCAGAGCAGAGAAGGCTCATCGAGACTTGGGGCTCTTCTCGAGCTCTGAAGAGGAAGATGACCAAGAGCATCATGATGATGTTGCTGGGTCATATGAAGAAAATGAAGGGGACGACGCCCTTGATCAAGATGTGGGCATCGCGGTTGAATCTGAAGAGGATGAAGAAGATGAGGAGGGAGGAGGTGGAGAAGCTGCTCTGCCTCAGGGCGAGCCAAAACAGCCTAGGACGGTGAATAGGCACGTTTATTTCTCTAGCCTAAATCCTAGTGCTAACACATTATCTGACTCTAGTGGTCGAGACACGAAGATCATTGAAACAGAGGTGCACACCTCGAACCCTAACCTGCCAAACCAACCAGAGGTCGCATCTACCTCTGGTCACTTAAGCCAAAGGGAAGCCACGTATCAGGGATCAACCTCTCAAAAGAGTGAAACCTTTGAAATGATAAGTGATATGTCTCCCCTTATCATGTCACTCTCCCAACTAGGGGAATTCGTTTCCCCTACACTAGTAGTTTTCCCACCTTGTTCAGAGCAAGGTTTCGGTGCACCAGACTTGAAGATTCTCGACCAATCTCCTAGTCCACTCGTGGAGGGTCCAATGGCTGGCTCTGAACCTGCCTTGGAACCCCTTCACGACAGAACAACAGTAGTGACCTCTCCTCAAAGAGAGCCACAAAGATCTGCTGGAAATCCTTCCTTGACCAACGTCAATCAAGTCGAGACAGAAGGTGTCCTTGGAACAAGGACTCACTCTGGCCCATGTGTTGAGACAGAGGTTACCCCTACAGCCTATGTCACAAGAGACGAGTTCCAGCCCGTTGCCACCTCTATGCTGTGCTCCTTGGAAGAGGTAAAACTCAACATGGCCCATGCAGAGCCATCTTCTTCTACATCTGCTTTGGATGAAATTCGAGTGTCCTTAGCAGTATTGAGGGCTGAGTCTATGATGAATGCCTCTCGCCTCGATAAATTGGAAGAGTTGAGGCTCAAAATGCAGAGGGCTTGCAAAGGGTTCTCGCATACATTCAGAGGGATGAAGCTTCTACTTCATCTCAGGCGCTCATTCCTCTGAATGTCCCTGTAGATTATGTCATTTAGTCTGCCATGAATGCTGGGTGACCGTCTCCTCCAGAAAGTGGCCGACTTCCCCTTAGATTTCAATAGCAAGGCCAAGGAGGCAGCAGAGATACGACGTTCCTTGGCGGCCTTTAACTATCACACAAACATGGAGATCCTCAAAGTCTCAGATTGAGCGGAGGAGATTCTCAAACTCTTTAAGGATAAGATCAAGTCCCTGCCCCAAGCAGAAGAGCAAAGGCCAAAGAGGAGAATGGAGCCAACTCCATGTGCTGAGGCCTCAAAGAGAAGAAGGCTTGACAACGATGAGGATCTAGACCTGTCTGCTCCTCAAAGTCTTCAAGAGGGGGAGAATAAGCCTACAGCTGCTCCAAGTACCATTCCTAGGGCTGCCCCCTCTGCCTCTGCCCCACGCCAGCCAGCACCAGAGTCTTCAAGGCATAGAGCACATAATGAGCCAGTGCATGCAGAGGCGCTAAGAAAAGGAAAAATGCCCACAACATCCTATGCAGAACCAGAAGCACAATGAAAAGATGAAGATGTCATCCAGCTCTTAGTTGTATACGTCTCTTCATCCGAATCAGAAGAGGCTTTGTCATCTTCAACAGAATAATCCATAGAGACTGCTGATCCATCAACAAGGGGGCATGAAGAAGAAGAGGTGGTGACAATAAATGTAGTCGATCCATCACTCACGACTATTCCTATTGTTGTTCCACCCGATGGTGTTACAATAGTTGCTCCTCCACCATAAAAGTACACGCACAGAGCTAGGGTCCCTGCTCAATGGACCAGAGTAGTCACTCAAGCAATGAGGTACAGGGTTCTTGTCAAACCAAGCAGACCAGAAGAAGGCGCAAGCAACAGGCCTCAGAGCACCAAACGACCCTCTGATCGCGTTCAAAAGATCAAGGATAGTATGGATGAAATGATGACACCCACACCTCCTAACAAGCCAATCAAGAACAAGGCAGATAGCAAAGACATCTACCAGTTCCTCTACAGCTTGCAAGATGAGACACCGGTCATCAAGATCAACTCCATCCAACGGTCCAAGAGAACATCAGGCAGAGTTTCTTACATCGATATACACAGCCTATCTCTGCAGTCCACTCTGTCGATGTCATCAAGCAAGTCCTCGACATCAAGAAAAGAACTTTCACGCATAATCAAATCATCTTCCATGAGTATATGGTGGAGAGGTCTCGTGGATAGATCAACACTTTCACAGATTGTGATATAATAAATCTAAATCCATGGGACCTTCTTACTTTATATTACTTCACGAATCATAAGACGGACAAGGGGATAAAGTATGCTGTGGCCAACTCTGCAATAAGACAAACAATGACGAACCTTCTGGACTTCAAATGCAAGTTTGACTTCCAACTAGCTCTGGACCTGGGAATAGATCAACTGAGCGTCACTGCATCAAATGAAGATCTGCAAGGCCTCAACAACATTCCCTCATGGACCGTACCGGTGGGAACCAGAAATGGAAGTGGTCTTTCTAAACGAACAAGGAAGAAAAATATTTTTTCGAGAAGACCAGCGCTTCAAGTACTCAAACTCTACTCTGCGCTACATTAGAGATAATTTACTAAGGAGCAGAGATAGCTCCCCCGGAGAAAAGGAAAGAGCAAAGATTATTCTAAGGTCAATCCATAACTTGTTGGAGTTTCGAGAACTTCTTCGGAGGTTCATTAAACTTCAACACATCTAGGCCTTCTTTTGTAAGCATTTTTCTATCTTTTTAAGCAATGTAATTTCCTATCATCGTATTGTACTTTCTAGATAGATAATGTAAAACAGAGGTTTCTTTTAACCTCTTGCTTCGACTAGACCTGTTTTTCAATTCCATTAAGAGCCTGTCTTAGTTACACTTAGGGGGAGATTGTTAGACTCCATCTTGTGAAAGTGTAAGTAAGAAGTCTCTTACTCTAGTCAATAGGACTTAGTCTATAGAAGCAGTGTGGACTAAGAGCTTTCATATAGAAGAGGTCAAGAACCGGAGCTCTTTCTCAAAGAGTGAAGGTTCCTACATATAGAGCCCGCGCTCAATCTTCGTGGACGATCAAGCCTTATGCGCCAAAAAGTTAAGCGCTTGATGCAACGCTACAACTCCAGACACAGATCCTCTGCGTATACAGAACCTCTGCATAGTACATGCAGAACTTATGTATAGTACATGTAGAGCTTCTGGTCTCCTATCTCCATGGAACGCGCATTTAGTCCAGACATTCTCGCAAGCATCAAACATAATCAAGGCGGCTTGACCTAGTCCGCTCCATTTTTCAAGGGCAGTCAACGATAAGGATGTGGACTCGGCAACTCAGAGATTCAAGCCATAATTATAGCATAGTTTGTTTGAATTAGGCGTATATAAGGAGGCTTCCACCTCACGTTCAAATTACCTGAATGTGCTGACTTATATTATAGCATATTTCTTATGAGAATACGTTTTGATTGAAAGTTCTTATTTTCATCTAATAAAAGCATCTGACATATTTAAGTCTCTTATTGATCTTATTTATTTTGAATATTTCGTTTGATCAAACTCAGTTCATTGTTCGTACTTTAATCTTATTCTTTATCAAACTGTGCTTTTCTAAGAATTAAGAGTATATGGGTTCCAACAATAATATTATTGCTTTTAAATAGCTTTGCAAAACACAAACACACACGTTCAAGACAATGACTCTCTTGTCAAACCTCCCCGATTCATTCGAGACAACTTTAGTCTATGAAAAAATCGGATGTCCCTCTTTCTGGAAGGTGTGGATCCTGAAATTTCACACTATATAGAAAGTGGACTATATGTACCATTTGCTATTTCACCGGCTGTTCCTGCAATAGCTACAACTGTTGTGATTCCTGAACGGTAGATTCCAAAGCTCCCTCATCAGTGGAGTGATAAAGACAAGAAGAAAATAGCTATAGACACTCGCGCTAGGTCTATAATAGCTATGTCTCTTACTGACGAGGTTTATCACTCAGTGATGAAACTCAGGACTTCTAAAACCATGTGGGACACTCTTTGTGTTCAATATGAAAGAACCTCTCAGGTTCAAGAATCAAGGAAGATTAATTTAGTAAGACATTATGAAAGCTTTCTCTGTGGAAAGACTTAGACACTGTCTGAAGTACATCAACATTTTAACTGTCTTTTTATTGATCTTAGGACTGTAGGTAGGGAATATTCCAACTCTGAAACTTTAACTAAGTTTCTGGAATGTTTTCCTGAATCTTGGGACACCTTTTCCAGTGACATGTCCTCTCTTTCTCTCTCTATTCTCCATGGGATTTTGCATAATCATGAGCAATCTCGTCAGCTGGAAAGGAATCTAGTCAAATATTCCAGAGAAACAAAAATCTCTCCGTTAGCTTTGATCTCTGAAGATGCTTCAGCTGAAACCCCTTCTTCTTCTTCTTCTTCTTCTTCTTCTTCTTCTTCTTCATTTCTTCCTTCTGTTGTAATTACAGAGTTAGACTCTGCTAACTCTGAGGATATACCAGAATCTGATCTTGCAGATTTTGATGAATCCCTGGCGCTTTTGACTAAATCTTTTAGGAGATTCGCTAGCAAGAGCAACTACCGCAGATCTCCTTTGCTGACTATTAAGGAAAAGCCAAAATCTGACAAGGTAGAGAAGGCTTTAGCAATCTGATACAATTGTCACTGCACCAAGCATTTTACAGGTGAATACAGATCAAAGAAGACTGCGATGCCATCTTCCAAAACCTCATCCTCCTTCAGGTCCAGGTACAAGAAGATGAAGAATCACCAGCGAAAGACCAGAGATCTCATCGCGGAAAAGCATGATTGGGCTGATTCATCTGATGAGGAAGATACAACCTATCTTTGCTTGATGGCTAAGGATGTCAAAGAAGAAGCTTTAGAGACATCTACTTCCACTGAACCATCAACCTCTTCTACTGCTCAGGTATGTATCCTGAATTAACCTTCTTCCTCTTCTTCTAGCCTATCCGCACTAGACACGTTGACGGTAGATCTTTACAATTCCCTCAATGGCAAATCAAAAGTAGAAATGCTTAATCTTGATCTTCAAGAACAGTTGAAGATTTGCCATTCTAAGATCAAGGAGCTGACCAAGGTTGAAGAAAACCTAAAAGATCAGATCATTGTAAACCAAGCCATCACTGTTGAACGCGAAAAGGCTATTGCTGAACATGAGCGAGAAATCCCTGAACTTAAGACTGAGAAGGCTACCATTAAAGGGTAGTGCAAAGCCTCTGAGATCATCAACGCTCAGATCCTGGCCAAGATAAAGATTGGTCTAGGATTCTCCTATGATCAGGAATAATGTGTCATTGACATGTCCATGCTTAAGTTTGGTACCTTTGTCTCTTCCATTCCTGACACTTCTTCCTCTCGGTCTTCTTTTACTGAGAGTCATCTTGAGGGAAATCCTTTGAGTTCAGGTTGCAAAGACAAAGGTAAATCCATTATCATAGCACCTCTTCCTAAGAATTCTAACAAGTCCAATAGATCAAGGTTTATTCCTTCAGCTTGTAAACCTTATTCATCAGGGACTAGGAAATCTGAATTCTCTCAGAAATCCAAGTCTCAACTCAAGGTGAATGCTTCACCTAAGGACTCCAAAGCCTCAAAGGTTCCTCCAAGAACTAATGAGAAGGGAATCCTTGGAGCTGGTCCCTCTTCTAATCTCGTACTTCCCGGCCCTAAAGCTACCTTAAGTGTTAGAAAGTGTAAACACTGTGGTGAAAATACATATATTGCCAGCAAGTGTCCTTCTACTACCAAGGCTGGTCCACCAGATAAGACAAGAAAGTAGCCAAGGATGAGAAATCAACGAAGGGGAAATCCTCCACTAAGGCTGCAAAAGAAACCAAAGTGAAGCAAACCACTGGAGCATCTTCCTCAGGCTTAGTGAAGACGACAACTGCTATTAAATCTTCAGCATCAGACGTTGTAATTCCAACCACTAAAGCCTCTTCATCAAGCTAAGTGAAGACTTCCACTAACTCTATCTTACTAGTGTCAGAGGTTGTTCCTCGCTCCACTCAAACCTCTTCAGGTTTCGTGATGCCATTTGTTGACGGTGGTTCCTCAGCACCAGTGGATGATGCCTCTAATAGTGCTGGACCCCAATAGCTGGGTACCAATAGCATTTTTAAAATGTTCCCTTGTGC